CTCCCAGCGAGTTGGCCTGTGGACGCTCGCCGGGAGGGACCCCTCCCGACGAGCTGGTACACAGACCAGCTTGCGGGGAGGGGTTCCTCCCGGCGAGCTGGATTGTGTAGACGCTCGCCGGGAGGAACCACTCCCAGCGAGCTGGTCTGTAGACGCTCGCCGGGAGGGGTTCCTCCCGACGAGGGGGCCTCTGCCCCTTTAGGCTGAGAGGTCTGTTTTTTTTTACGTGTTGTTGTTCTCTTTTTTTTCTTTTCGTTTTTTCAAATACACACACTCCTGTATAAGCGTTCGTGAGCCCATTCAGAGGGCGGGTATCCGCGCGGATACCCTCCAACGCTGGCGGGTATCCGCCGGCGGATGCGGATGTGTGTTTCCGCTGAAATCGTGAGCGGATATCCGCATCCGCGCGGATATCCGGATTCAATGCGCCCATCTCTAGTGTGTACTCCACTTGATTACTGGTGTTTACTAGCCATCAATTGAAGTACACACTCCACCCAATGGTTGGTCTGTTCAACTCCACCATGCATTCCACACCAGCCAAACAATTTGACCAAAGATTTGGCCTGTCACTCTCTCTCCACCACAGAGCCCAATGACCAATATCTGGTGGAGTTTGATGGCCGGTATTGACTGATCTTTGAGTGAAGCATGTAAATGCATACATACTCTACTTGATGAACAGTTTTTCCCGTCATCATTCTGTCTTGGAAAATTAAAATGCCTTGCCAGCAAGCACATCAGACCATAATGTTTCAAAAAACCATGAGCATGATGTCAGTTGAATCATTCATAATTCAGGGCACCCTTGGCCTTGAAGGCTCTCTAACACATCATATGCCTCACCAGAGAGTCACAAATTATCAAATAATTAAACAGTTGGTTGAAATCAACCATTGGTGGCCTTGACAGTTCAGGATCTGTGAGGATATATATTTCAAATGCATAAAAACTGGGAAAGAAACCCCTGATATCATTGCTGAGTCTCACCCAAACTATGAGCTACTTGCAAGAATTGGTGGGAACAAGCAATCTGGTGGGTGATTGATAAGGGACATATAATGAAGCACGTGAATCTGAAAAGCTGTCCTCTCTTTGACAGTTTCTTTTTCCATCTCCAGTTGCCATTTTTTACATCTGATTTCCAGATCAAGGTTGATGCAATGCATTACCTGTGAATGTAGTACTTCCTGTTACCCTTTGCAAGTCTCAAATTTCATCTGCTGGGTTGATCTGGAGATGTTCTCCATCATCAAATGAGTACACAATTGGTGGTTAGAGATTTGAAGTACACTGGAAGCCATGTTGTCAACATTGTTCACAGGTTTCATACCTGGCTCCTGGATCACCAATCCAAAAACATCCATTGCAACTGGTTGCTAAATTATCTCCTTGATCAACAGGCACACCTGGCCATCACAAAAAGAATTGCAGTATTCAATCAATCATTGAACTTGAGTTAGAAACCTAGTAGACCTACAATGGAGGACATGTCATGGACACAAAGCTACAAACCCTTTCATCAATATGTTTATGATAGTTGGTGCAAGATTTGTGGAGGTTTACACTAACTTCCTGTGAAACATGGAAATTGTGTGAGTTTGCCACCAAGGAAAAAACCATGTAGAGCTCATCACTTACTTTCCATTGTGTGACCAGATCAGAGTAACACAAGACCATCTGTTTCAAGGAGACCAGGGAGAGCTGGTGGAATTTCAGTTTGATTTCCTCCAAATATCTCACATACATGGTGGACATTTAACTTGGTACTGTTGATTCTGTGAGATTCTTGTGGTGTTCTTGCCACAGTCAAAGAAAGTTGAGCATATTGAGCAGGGATTGATCATCCCATGCACACAAAAATTCAATATTCCCACACTTTGAAGTGCTTTGAGTTGTGTTCAGGTGGGGATCAGAATTGTAGTGGATGTATCTGAGCGTCCAGTCAATGTGTATGGGTTGGATGAGAATCAAAGATATCAGGCTGCCCTTTGATTGTGTGGGTACTGGGTGCCTGATCAGTGACAGACTCTGGGTTGCTTGTGTTGGACATGGGTGTTTGGATGTCTTCTCAAAGCAAAGTTGATCAGGCCAGGTGTGACCATTGATGGTTCAAGAGAATGGAGTGAGGGAGGAAGGTGTTACATGGACACAATGGTGCAAAAGAGACAATACGAGACGGTATCAGGTGTTTATTTGTATTGTCTCAGAATTTGAATACCCAAAAATACCAGATTTGTGTTGTCTCACTTTCCTGAGACAATACACATGTATTGTCTTTGAAAAGTGAGGCAAGTATTCTGTATTGTGTCAGATGACTGATCCCACCAAACCTGTATTTGATACACAAGATATCTGGCCATATTGAAGAAAAAAAAAGACAATTTTTTTTCATTTGTAAATCCGAATCCGAGACAATAATTTTTTTCACCAACCAAGAAAATACTGATACTGGTATCAGGCTCAAAATAAAGACAATACAATCCAATACAAATACATGTCTCGTATATGTTGCACCATTGATGGACACATGCTCCAGCCCAAGAGTGGTGCAAGGGTGTGGGTCAGATAGTCAGCAACACTGGTTACTTTAGTCTACCAACTCTACCAACCCACTCTTGGCCATCATAGTGATGACATAGTCATTGATGTGTCAAGTATTTTGAATTGATGGCTAGTAATACTGGTGACAGGGGTCACCTCTGTGTGACAACCGGTCAAGGTCAGTCATCTGGAGGACTCTATACTCCACCTGATGACTGGTTTTTGCCAGTAAATACACACACCATCTGAAGGCCATTGAGGACCAGTCAATGGATGGAGCAATAATACCTTTGGATGGGTGCTTTTTCACTGGCAGGTGATATATTGGCCAAGGCCGGAGGGGGGCAGAGGTGGCAGGTGATTTTGTTTTGTATGTACTGTAGATAGTGCTTTTTACAAAGTGCACAAAAAAGAACATTCATATGCGGGAAATCTTTTGAAGGATCTGTCAGAAAACAGCAGACCAACTGCAGTCTTACTAGCGTTCTCTTCATAATTAACCTGAATCCTTTTTGAGGCATTGTCCCAAACCCCAAAAACCACATAATTGGGAACATTGTCAGGTAAATCTAGGACAGATTATACCTCACACAGCTCCTTCTTGCAGGTTTCACCACCGAAAACCTGTATGAGAGCCTCAAGGAAAGCACTGGCAACATGGCTGAGTTGAGTGTATCCCTGTTTAGCTTGGATACACTCTACCAAGTTAAACTTGGTTGAACTCCAACCAATGAAATGTAAATTCAAGGTACCCTTGTATTCATATTTCATTGGTTGAGATGCAGCCAATTTTAACTTGGTTGAGTGAATCCCAGTTTAACAAGTATATTCTCAACCTAGCCAATTATGTTGGCAGTGAAGTTGTTTAGTGTGAGGGTTAGCCTATTATGTCACTCACACGGCTAAAGTTACCCAAGAGGATAACTGGCCAAATATGATGTAATAAGCTATGGATTTAAATTTGTAGAGGATTTTACAAGGTTAAATAATTTGAAGTTTTGATTGTTAAGGTTTATTTATTCCTAGTATTGTAACTCTGAGGAGAATATACACAACAGGGAATATTTTGATGAGGAAAGGAAAGGGGAGGGAGCAAAGATCAAGAAGATGAAAGATCATAAAGGAAGAATCATTGATTGACAAAAAAAATATATATATATATAAAAAAACAGGAACAGGAACAGGAACAAAAGATATTGTAAATGATGTCACCAGGAACTACTCCAATCAAGAATCCCAAATCTTTAGCATGACACCATGGAAAGTAACATGAAATATGTAAATGAAAAGCCCATAATTTCACCTGAACCCATGAATCATTACATTTAGGGTAAATTTGATCCTGAAACAGCCTTTTAGCATCCCAAACCGCAATCCTTCCTTTTGGGGACTACCCCACATTGTTTTTTTTTTCTCAGTTGAGTGCATGAGGTGTGATGTAAATATTTCATTCCAGTGTCACTCAAGACGGCTGGTCTAGCAACCTGAACCACCTCACAAGGTCCTACTCAGGAGGATGAAGCCATTTGAATGAAGCGAAAATGGGATGTCATTTGGTAAACACTGTGCAAAGCAAATTCATGACCAAGTACATAAAATGCTCAGCAAACAAACCTTTTGGGTGTACAACTGTTGAGTATCAAGCTGAGAAAAACGACAGACAGTTGCAGTGTTCATAAACAAAGAATCCAAGCAAGCAAGCAAAAAAAAAAAAAAAAAAAAAAAAAAAAGGGGGCAGTATCGTTATTCCAAGTCAAACCCGAACTTGAAGCCACCGGCATCAGGACTAGGTTCAGTCGCGTCATTCCCAACAAGGGAGTTGCAGTGCTGGGCTATATCGGCCGCATCGTCTGATTGTTTATTCAGGTGACCACTGATCAGATTTAATTTTGACCTCTTGATTTCATTCCACATCGAGGAACTGGTTGAAGAATCCGGTCGATCGGTGGATTGATTCTTCCGCTTCTTAGCTTGGTGGTTGGCCTCCTCACCCTTTCGCTGGAGCTCCAATCTCGTAGTCCGATTGTGATTCCGTTCGGATTCTATTTGTTCGACCGAGTTCAAGGCCAAGCTCAAAGTTTGCTCCGAAACTTTCTGGGACCGAGAGAGTTGAGAGATAAAAGTCTCAAGGATTGATGACGACAGTTTGTCGGTTGGACTATCACTGCAACCCCCTCCAGTCATGAGCTCCTTTCTAGCCAATTTGAATCCGGATAATTGGTCTGGTTTGTGCTTCATGAAATGTAGCACCGACCCCAATTCGTTATCTGAGACAAAATTTTGGGTAATCGCAATCGATGGTTCCAAGTTCACAACGACTATGGAATGTATACCGATGTTAGCTTGGTCACGTTTGACGTAATAAAAGATGAGATCAAGCTGCTCACGATGCCACCAACCGGAAGGAACGAAGAAGGTCTCACCGGCCTCGCACACACCTTCCAGCATTAGACCGCGCGTCTCAGGATCTTTGGCAAAGCTACCATAGGTCTTCTTTGCAAACTCATAATAGTTCAGAAACCATTCTACGCGGATCAAGCGAGAGGGTCAGTTCGAAGTTTATCAGCCAAGGTAGAAGCAGATCCGTACCGGAGATCGATAAAGGGCTCTCGACTTCACTCTCATCTTCGTTGACCATCACACCGGGTGGAGTGGTATGAGGAGGGAAACAAATCCAATACTTTTTGCCGGTAATCACCGCATTCCAAGCGGAGGTTCCGTTGGGGTCGATATGCCAAGTTGATCCAGATCTGGCAGGCCCTATAATCTGTGGGAGAAGTATGTTGAGATCCGGTTAGCTTTCACGGAAGATTTGGGGCGGAAGGAAACGGGCGAGTAGGGCAAACAAACAAACAAGCCAACGGTAGTCAGGTCTTTGATCCCCCAAACAAGAAAACAGATCCTGCCGAAAGATTTCAGGCACCGAGAAATCGTCGGCTAAGCCTCTATTGAATCGAGGTGTAGCTGATTTTTCGACGAATTGACTGTCGAATAAGTAAACCGGGCTTTCATCCAGCTGACAGTTATCGTGATACTCTCGGTAATCTTCGAGCGTGGTGAGAGTTGATTCGGCCCTGAATTGAAGGTTCGGGTATCGCTGGGTTAATGATTCGAGTGTCCAACGATGACTTGATGAACGGCTGTATGCTGGCCAGTCTTCGATCAACTCCTTCAGAATCATAGGCCGGTTGGAATGCTGGAATGCTCGTGGTTCTTTGACAGTAAGTTTGCGGATGTTGGAGTGAAACTTTCTCGAGCCGACCAGATGAGCGATGATGGAACTGATGGAATGGTTGACACATAGGATAGGTTGAAATAAGACATCTGAGAAGACATTTGGTACTCTAATCGAATCGGTCGGGAGACGATCGCTGGTTCGTTCGAGACCGAGCTTCTTGGGCGAGCTGATGAATTTCAAGATATAGCTCGATCTCCAACTGCCTCTCCAGTCAGACAGGCAGCCGCGGTTTTCGGAGATAAAGCCAGGTTTCCAAAGACCGTCTAGTCCGGCACACCAAGCAAAGAAATACGTGCTAACGGCTTGGCAATCATGCAGCTCTGGTGGTGAGAGTTCTGAGAAGACTAGCAGGAGTAATTCATCCGGGAGGATCGATAGCTTCCCCAGACTTTTGGCACGAGCAGCGTAGGCATCCGGTGGAGATAGGATCAAGTTTCCTAGTGGTTTGATCGATCGAGGGTTGATTGATGGCTGGTTTGATGATCCTGTTCTCGGGCAATCCTACATATTTGTAGATGGGCAAAGAGGAATAATGAGCCATCACAGGAAAGAACAAGCAGTGTTTTGGATGCAAGTCGAACGTACTGCTGGGCTGATAAGCATCACTGCTCCGGCTCCCTTGGACACGCTGCCTTCTGGACTGGTGGGGCCTTCCAGCGGATGAGCTTGAAGAGTGCTTGCTTGCTCGACCGTCAGCGCGTGGCTCATGGGGGAAGCGGGGTTCTCAATTCATCATGAATCTCCCCAAATTTGAAACAGCGGCGTACAGACAAGGACACTTCCAGATGTACAGATCTGTACAAGACACCAAAAAAAACCCACCCTCTTTCGGAATGATGACCCAAGCACACTTATGCAAGTCCCTCCTTATTCCGAGGGGGGATGCCCGGGGGACTATGTACATAAGTTGCACTCGGGCTGTCGTTCATTCCACGGCTCTGGACGATTCCACAATTCAATCATCAAGTTTTTGTTTTTCAGCTTCCAAGGGGAGCACAAGTACACATGCATGTTCATAGGGTTATGTATGTCACAAGATGTACACAGTTCGAGAGAAAGCAAACTGGACAGGATAAATATGAAGAGAAACGGGTACCGGTACATCATGTCGAATAAATTCGGTTGTTCAAATAACGTCATCAAGAAGGGCATCTCTACCATCATCAAAGCATTGTTGATCATCAGGATCGATCTCATTATAGCCCAAGCAGAAATCACGGCTCCTAGAGTGATGCGCTGGACCGGAAAGGTCCGAGGAACGAACGTGGTAGGATTTGTTGAGGACGATCAACTGATTGGCGGGTCGATCAAGATGTTGAGTCATATCGGCCACCATCGGTTGTCTGCTCACTCGAATTCTGAGTTTCTCTGTCTGTTCATTTGCTGACCGAGTCATCGCTTTCTCCTCTCTAGTTATCGTCCCTTCGTCCGATGCATGGCGGGTCCGATCGTAGCTTTGGTTGTGATTATAGGCCTGGGCCAGGAGTTTCAGCAATTCCAACTTTCTTGCGTGTAGGTTGGTAGGCATGTTGGCTTGGTGATCATCGATGGCAGCGGTAGAACCTGATCCTAACTGCTCAAGTTTCTCGGATTCTTGAGCCAGCTTACTAAGATCCATCCAATCCCATCCCTCGATATTTAATTCCTCGTGTTTCTGCTGTTCATAAGCCATCACGTCTGAGACTACCAAAGCTAATTTTGCTCCTTGCGATGCTAACATGATCTTGCAGTGATCAGATGAGCTAAAATTACTCTGAGTCGGTGATGCTGGGAGCGGGATGGATGTGGGATAAGGGATTTGAAGAGAATGGTCCCTCGACCCCATCTTTATCGATCCCGTAGGTCTCCCAAACCCGCAATCTGTCCGATCGATCATGTGGTCGGCTCCGATACTTGATTCAACAGATCCACCAAAGCTAAAGAGATTTTCCTTAGCTTTCTCTCCTGCTCTCGGTGACGACCTGGTGGATTGCGTAAAGCTTTGATAATCTTGATGGTAGTCGTGGTGATCCCCCTGGGAGGATTGGCACCAAGATCCGTCGGGATTGCTTGCAAGTTGATAAGAATTCTGCGAGTGGTTGCTGATCGCAGAAGAGGAAGACGTCGACCAGGTGTTATTCAGCAATTCAGATCCTTCTTTCCAATCAGGTGCATAAGATCGGCGTTGAGTCTTGTGGATTGACTGGGAAGACTTGTTGAAGCTTTCGCTACCAGCCACTGCTAGTTGAGTGAGATCGAAACTGATGTTGGTCTGATTTTGTAATGTTTGGCTTTCTAGGGCTCGGCGAGTTTCCATTGAGACAAATGGATCATCGGGCTCAATCCCGTCAAGTGTCATCAGGCTTAATCCTTTGTTATACTGATGCGGCGACTCATCAGCCGAGCTATCGTCGTTGCCTTCGGCCTCGGCTTTGGCTGGCATCGAACCATCAGTGTCATGGTTTGGGTTTTGATCTCGTGTATCTTCCTGTGCGCCTTCATTACGGAGTTTGTTGACCATTACCCTATGAGCAGTCCGAGGAGTGTGAGGTCGTTTGGAACTGATCATTTGAGCATGTAGAGGACCGAGAAGATTTCGTAACGTGGGTGGGTTGGATATTTGCCCTGAAAGCGGATCCTCGTTGTTTCGGTGGGAATTGAGCGAGCGACTGAGAGGGCCATTAGACGAGGTAGTTGAGGAGGCACTAGAGGGAAGCTTCAGAGAAGATTGATCCAGGGGAGGGCCAACCGGGGAAAATAGTCCATCAAAAGGAATTTGGCTGGGTTCGACAGAAAGGGAGGACCAGTTGGAGTGAAGAGAGGAAATTTGACTTGGACGGGCATTTCTTGTGGTGGGGGCACGCTCTGACCTGTGTTGTTGATTTTCGAATGCAGACTCTTTAGACTTTCTCTTCTCGTTGAGCTGCTGGCGCGACATGCCCTGAGGGATGGTCCCTCGGACTGAATCGTTATATTTTCTAGATAATTTCAGGAGCCCATCAATTAGTTTGACCATTTCATTCATGTCTCCCCGAACGAGCCCAGGAAGATCGATAGAATCAGGAGACCAGCGATCGACATCGGCCTGCAAAATTTGACCGAGCACCTTGATCATGACTTTTAGGCATTTTGAACGGGAATGAGGCGACTTGGATGTGCGGGTTGCATCTGTGTGTGCGTGTTTTTTTTGTCAAGAGATAAACGTAGGCAAGGACAGTAAGCTTATTTGAATTCAGCCAAAATGAAAGCAATTAGCGTTTGATGAATACCATTCAACGCCAAAAAACGCCGCTCGAGAATACTTTCAAGGACCGCCAATAGAAGAGATGGGGTTGCGACAGAAAGTTCGGGAATGGATATAGGTATGAGGAGGGACCCCATCAACTTGTTGAGCTGAGCAAGAACATCGGTATGATCTTGATAGGAAGATACACAACATCGATTAGCTGGGCTGACCAACAAAGTCGGCATGGAGGATGATTGAGTGAGACAAGCACACTACTAACTAGGCTCACCGATTTCCCTTCCTTTTCCTTTATCCTGGCTAGAGCTCTGTCTGTACTGCTGAGGTCTCATGTTGAGGTAGATAGACGAATAAATAGGACGGAAGGAGTCGATGGATTTGAGCTCATTGGAAGTTTGGAGACGGAAGAGGTGGTCCTGCTTACATCATCACAGCACATGGCTGTGTAAATACATAGATGGTAATGTGATCCGGGTCCCGCACACCCGGCACACGCCCCGGCCCGGCCGGATACAACATACGCAGCAGCTTACATATTGTGTATCCAAGAAAGCTTGGATCGATTCGCTTTTTGAATTTTTTGTAACCCTTTAAATTTGATATTTCTAATCCCATATTTTCATTTTCTCAGTCGGGTTTTATCTTGACAGATGTCAGATAAGACCCAGGGATAAAACCACCTCCGGAGCCATGTTGCTCCAGTACATGCTCTTGGAGGAGAATTAAGAAAAAACGAGGTTCATATTCGGAACCAGAGCAGTTTGTAGGGCCTACAAGCCGCTTACCTGGACCGCCGGTCACTCCCTTCTGCCCCATCGGTGATGCCCACCAAGCACTGGACCGTCGAATGAGCTGAGAAAGAAGGTGAAAGCCCTGGGACACCTGAGGCAGAAACATATTTGAAATTAATCGAGCAGAAAGGTAAATCCATAAGTTGCAAGGATTACAAAAAATCCAAAAAGCAAAATGATCCAAGCTTTCTTGCAAACACAATACACGTCATGAAATTGTATGTTTTATTTTATTCTAACGGTAAAGTGTGAGCAACAACCAGGTTATCCTACCCCTCTGCTTATCTTTCTGATTTTTCTGCATGACACTTGAAAAGAGGCTGAAGTTCAATACAGTTGCGGACGGCAAAAACCGACCCTGGATTTTGAGGATGTCCGAATGGTCGAGCCAAAATTTCAGATTTTTTTTTTAAATTTTCAGCCTTTTGAGCTGTTTGTAGCCTCCAGATCGTAGAAAAAATACACTAGAATAGAAGATTAACAGTGAAAGTAGATGTTGAGGGTGTACAAGTAGTATAAAACCATGATTATTTATAACTTAAATCCATAACTATGGGTTTAAGTATTGCTTAATCTGTGATTGTCCGATTATCTGTATGTGGAAATGAAAAAAAAATTGAACCGCTCACTCAAAAGCTTAGTGCTTACAATTTTGAACTCTACACATCTGTAGGAGTTCAAAATTGTAATAAAATTAAGTGTCGGGGCACATGCCCCCCGGGGCATAGGCCCCGCGTGTCCAATTTGGATTTTGCGGGCGGGGCATGGTCGGTCTATGCCATACGCAACTGTACATTGTTGTTTCATCAGTTTGTGCCAATCGTCGATCAAACGTCCCAGGGCGAAGAGGCGGCGGTCTACGCAGATTGCCTGGCGTACATAAGGCCAACCGCTGCCTCATCAGCACGCCCAGAGCATCATCGCAGGTCACCCTCCACGACTTGAACATTCTTCCCATCTCTAAATCCAAATCTCAAGAATGTATCATGACAAACTCTTCCGGAAGCCATCCACAGTGTGGATTCTATGGGCGGTCATGCCGTTTCTGCGGACAACATCTAGCAGCATGGCCGCAACACACGAAGCCCTACCTGGCCTCTCCCAAGCTCATGGTGATGAGGTACCGTGCGATGAGAGGACACCGCTGAGCGCCTTAGCTTTTTTGGATTTGGACTCGAACTCAGAGCAGTGCCAACAATTTGATGATCACCGGAAGATACGAAATCCTCACAGTATACTCAATCCTGCCACTGGGCAGGGTAGCTCACCATTAGCTTTATTTCAAAATAATCACCAGCTATCATATGATCACACCAGCTCTCAGGTATGGCCAAGTGTTTTGGTTCAGCCACATGATATTTTGGTGCCCTCCAGATCTTTGGGTGATGAATATGAATATGGTCAGTGTGACCATCTTAAATGGCCTGAAAACAATAATTTTGCAAGAAGAGCCAAGCAAAGAACTACCAGAGAGGTAAGTTGGATAGAGGTCATCTGTGAATTTCCTAAAACTAGACTGGGTCAGCTGATGCACAACAATCCAAAAACAGAAAATTAGCCATGGAAAGAGTGAAATTGTGTTTTCAAATACATCACAGCTGTTTGATAATGATCAGAATCCCCAGCAGAAAGTTCAAATGAATTCAGCTTTTGAAGTTGCCACTAATTTGCATTTATCAAAACCAATCAACATAGCTGAGCACACTAAACTTGCTATCAATCAAAATAGTGGAGGAATTCCTGTTGTTTCTGCAGCCCCTGAAAAACCAGATTTACAACCTCTCAAATCATATTTTCCTGAAATAGCTAATTCCAGAGGTTTTATGTCTGTTTATGAAGGGTCTCCAGAGCTTTACATGAAGTCCTCCAGAGGATCAATCATGAGCACTGGAGAAAACTTTAATCTACCTTCTCAACAGATTCAAAACAATAATTTTGAGCCAACTGAACCTATCAATACCGCAGCAAGTTTAAATTCAGAATCAGGTTCTGCATCCAAGGTAAGTCAAGGAACAAATCATTCACTTCTTCCTTCCCTCAATCCTAAAAAATGATCAAATAATGTTGGGGAAAATGATGGATAATCAACCCTTTAATTCTTCTCAAACAGGGAAATTCTTTAAAGAAAAGTAAACTCATGGAAGAAAGTTTTCAAATGGCCCAACCTTCAATTCAAATCAAATATCTGAGTGTGGGTGTTTTACTCTCATTCCAAAATTTCTGATTTTACTACAAAGGCTTCCCCCTGGAATTGAAGTGTTGGACACATGAAACTGAATGTGTTTTAAATTTCATTCCATGTTTGACCTTTTTGAAAAAAGTCCAGCCAAAGGAAAGTCATCTCAACATTGCATCAAGACAAAGTGTATAAGAGTAATGGGAAAATCAGTTCAATTAATCCAGAATTTGCTGGTTCTTCAATTCTTGCCAGAGTTGAAGAAAATTCATCAGGAAAAGGTCAATTAGAAAATCATTCAAATGTCAAGGAAGGGAGATCTTCTGGTGACCAAGGGATGAAATCTTGTCAAAACGCTCACAATCCTCATGAGGAAAATATTCTGATTTTGGATGGAATTCAGAAATCCAAGGAATCTGAGGTACCATCTCAAAGCATGGAATCCCACTCTGAATTAAAGATCAAGGAATCAGACAATCCAAATGAAGCTTCTTTCCAGAAAGAAGAGAATACCAAACCAGAGAATTCTGAAGAAAAAGTGAATAAAGTGAGACAAAACAAATCAGCACAGGCTGAGGACACAAGAATATTGACAAAACCCCACTCCAAAAATGTACAAGAGAGGAATGAAATTGAAGAGCATTCTACCCAAGAAGAATCTTCATCAGACAGGAACCATAAAGATGTACCCAAATTTGAACTTAGGGAAAAGAGTAAGCCAAAATTCAAGAAGGGAAAGAATTCAGCTCCAAAAGAAGAACCAATTACTCCTGATAGGCTTGCAAAATGGAAGGCAAAGAAGAAGTGGAAGGCTTTAGATACTTGGATTGAGAAGGAAAAGAGATACTCACAAATGAATCAATATTCTGATCTTCCAGAGAGTTCTGATTCAAGGTTGGAATCTTTTCTTAGTCAGAATAAACCAAACACAAATTCCATTGTTGAATTCTCATTTCAGAAAGAAGAAAATGACAAACATCTTCATTCTGCAGTAAATGAAATTCACCCAAAAGAGAAAATTACAAGCAGTAATGAAGAATCTGTTGTATCACCACTAAATGCAGGAATATTTAAGATGGATCAGTTGGATGAAGAAGCAACTAAAGAGAAACAGAAAGAAAGATTCAGCAACCCAAACACTCCTATTCATGACTCTCTTGGAAACATGGCAAGAGGTAGTGCTGAGAAGGAGCTGATGATTGGTCAAAACAATCCATTGGATGAAAAAAAGAAAGAATCACAGACCACCAAATCACCTTTGGTATTAGATGAGATTCAACATGCTGCAGAGAGTTCCAATCAAAATTCCAATTTGTTGTTCAATCAGAAGGAGCCACTTTCAAACTCAGATAGTGAATCGTCATTCCATAGAAATCAAGCAGGGGAATTGTTTCAGAATAAAACAAATGGAAGCTACAAGAAGGACAAAACTGAAAAAAGTGACAAAGAGACCCAGGTCTCAGATCTTAATACACCAGGAGAAAAGCTCAATATATCAAATAGAAAAGGGGGAAAATCAAAACATATCAAAAAATTGAAGTATATGCCCACCCCTAGTTCTGAATCCTCTAAAGATATTGTAACAAGTGAAGAGAAATATATACTTGATCTCATTGAAATGAGAAGACCCCCAAAGAAAATGAAGCTGATATGCAATTCTCCAATGAGGTTCAAAGCAGATTATGATACCCAAGCTGAATTTTTAAGCTCTGAATTCCAAAAGTCCAAGGAGGAATTCAAATCAAAAACATCAGACAAGAACTCCATGATGGAATATTTTCAAATTGAACAAAACATAAAAGAGAAAATGCAAAAGAAAATTGAAAAGTTGATGACAATTAAACATAAAAAAACTGAATTCAAACATCAACATTTGAGAGACTACTCACCATCAACCATTCAGAAATTCTTTGAAATGTGGGGTGAGAAGAATGTTTTATCATGGGAAAAGAGAAATCTGGACATAGGACTCATGTCCCAGCTGGATTTGGTCCTCAACTTGCAAGATAAAACATTTCATGCTGGGATATTACCAATATTCCATGGAACTAAATTATATGAAAGATTTGTGGAACTTCACAGGAAAAATCAATTGAGTAAAGTCATAGATTCACTCTACATGATACTTGGGAAAGAAGAAGGAACCAGAAGGTTGGAAGCATTTTGTCATTACTTACAAAGACATGTCATTGCATTCAATTGGCTGAGTTTGAAGCTCAGTTGGCTTCCAACCCTAAGCAGAGAAGGAATTCAGAGATTTTATAGATTAACTCACTTTGAAAGATGTTTTGGTGTTTCAGAATATTCTCACTCAGTATTTGATATTCCCACACTTCCATTTGATACCTTTCTCTCACGTGGTATCAATCTTGAAAGCATGGATACCAAATCTGATTTAAACAAAATATATGGTAATGATGAGGCAGAAAAAAAACTTGAAGTGATGAATTACATATTGGCTTGCCCCTATAAGCCTGAATGGTGGAGATCAGTAGGTCTTGAATCATCAATTAAAGAATTTGGGCTAGACCTTTTAATAATTTTGAAGATTGGGAACTCACTCCAATTTGGTTCTATGCATTTTGTGGAAAATTCTGAGAGTACAATCCCACTAGAACAAGCATATTCCACCATCATAGATATCATGATATCAAAGAGGAATTTTCCATGGATTGAATCTCCAGAACGTGCCTGGCTATATAGATTCTGTGGGAGCTTTTACCAGGACCGGTTGAGGGAACTCAGCCATCTAGTTTTTTCAAAACATGTGACAGTTCAAAATGAAATGAAAGGTCCAAGTGGATTTGAGTTGATATGGTGTGACCTTGGTCTTAATATTGAACTTATGCCACATATTTTTGAGCTTGGGGAGAATTTCAACATTGCAGAAGAATTGAAAAAATATGAGAAGATATATGGAGTTTTTTCAGAATATGCAAAGATGGCACTTTCAGTCTGGGTCAGGTCTTTCACTTCCAAACCACAAAAATATTTAGGAAACATGAAGAAATCACAAGCAATCCCCTTATGGGAAGACAAAGAAATTAAGAAGAGAAATAAAGATTTTTATCCAACAGAGATGAATTGGTCCCGATCTTTAACAAATATCTGCAATTTAATGTCACTCGAGAAGATGGAAAAAATCAAACGTTTGCACGGAATAAAAACATAACACACTAGGTTTCCAAACAAACCATATTTGTTCAAAAAGATCCAATCAAAGATTATGAGAAATCATGATTTGCATGTTTCAAATTCCATTTTTATCCATCAATGCTTTCTGCTTTTGCATTTGAATATCCCATCAGATTCAACCTGATTTTACTCTTTCTCAAGCTCATTGTAAATGTGTATTTGAATTTGCAATACATATTCAATGATTGCTGGCTGCTTTCCTGCATTACATGGCTCTTAATTTTCTTCTCTTTTGACCAGATTGTTTGAATTTTTATGCTGTTTAATTGAGCACTCATTCCATATGAACTACCATGACTCAGATCCTACTTTTTTTGCCTGTAGATCATTAATATCACTAAGTTGAGTTGGGAGTCAGACTAATTTGATTCTAATAGTTGAGTGAGAAAAGTTACAACACTCCAAATAAATAAAATAGTTTGATAGGGAGTTATAGACCTTATCATTTGAGCATGTGGACAATGGGTGGACTGATTTTTTTTTTCCTGAGGATGGATTGTATTTCTTGTTCTTTTTTGAGAATGGATTGAGTGGAGTAGAGGGTCATTGGACAATTTAGTTTGATTGGATTTGGGACTTTGAAGAACAAATGGCATGTGGCTTTGGTCTGCTCAATCTTCTGGTTCCAATTCTTGTGATCTTCCCATCAAAACGCAAGACTCTTGCGATGCAAGTTTGTGGAACTGAGGCACCAGTCTGACCTGGAACCGCCTGGCTAGCACTGCAGTGGGAGCATTGTGCTGATTCCAACCTCTAGATTGGTAGCTCCAGGGTCCTCCTGAATCGAGTTGTTTTGGCAACAATATACACTTATCTATAACAAAGCAGCCATGTAATTAAATTTACAACAAGCTCTTCTTCCTTGTCTGAAGTATGTACAATGGACTATCTCGATCCGACATTTTGATGTGTGACACTTTGAAAGAGCAAGGAAAGATAAGTTTTCTTGTTTCACAAGATCATGCCAATGGCCGATCAAACGTGTCGGAGGCGGTGATCTGCGCAGATTGTCAGGCGTAACCGGTAAGACTAACCGCTGCCGCCATCTGCGCGCCAAGAGCCACTTCGCAGATTACCTTTCTCGGCTTGAACGGTCTTCTCATTCGTAAAGTCAAATCCTGAAAATGTTTTGTGACAAACTCTTCCGGAAAACGTCCACAGTGTGGATTCTGTGGGCGGCCAAAACGTTCCTGCGGACAACATCGAGCCGCATGGCCGTCACACACGAAGCCATACCTGGCATCTCCCAAGCTCATGGAAATGAAGTATCATGTGATGAGAGGACACCGCTTAGCGTTGTGGCTTCGTTGGATTTGGACTCGAGCTCAGAGCAGAGTGAGCAATTTGATCACAAGAAGAACCACAGATTACTCAATCATTGGCGGACTAGTTCACCAGTAGCTTTCTTGGAACATCAGCGCCAGGTGTCAGCTGAAAAATCCCAGGTATGGTCGCATGTATTAATTCAACCAGGATCTCTTTTCGAACCCGTCCTTTCTTCGAGTAAGAAAAGTGAAGATGACTGGGGGCGCAGCCTGAACATCCTTGAATTCGGGGATCCAATGACAAATGACGTGCGAAGCATCAACGACGAGGTAAGTGGGACGATAAACTATGCTGTAAAATTTCCTAGAATCCTACCAGCTGATACATAGCGACATTCAAACGACCAGATCAGTGGTAGTGGAAGAAGTGATCAGGCTCAGCTTCCAGGGGCAGCACATCCACGCAATCGCGATTTAAATATTCATCCGATTTCAACCTTATCAGAGCCCGTGATTGTAACTCATCCGCACTCATCTGACTCAATCAACATGGATGATCCAGCTAAATTGATTTCGAGTCAAAGTAAAACGTTTGAGGAACAGGATAAGAGGTTTTCTCAAACCCCTCACTGGACTCCAAGCAAAAGCCCTGAGCGATTTATGGACCCTAGCAGTTCATACTCCCTGTCAAGTGTGGGTAGCTCTCCAGATGCTTCAACTTCCGCCGGATTTCTTCTCTCATACAAAAAATGCCAAGGGTAGAACTGATTGTAGGTTTTTGAAAACAATTCCTCGTGTGGTTGACTAGCCAAACTCTTTGAGAAAATACAAGGACGTAATTATCCAAGTTCCAGAACTTTTGAATGAGAAAAAACCTTCTGCAGTGAGTTTTTTTTTCAGGATGATTCTTTCAAATGCACAATTCTACTTAACAAAGGATTGAATTCGATGTTGGATGAACTAACATTTTTTCCCCAAATTTTGTTATCTATGTCAATGTGTATATGGAAAAAAGGCCAATCAAATTAAGAATGGACAAACAGAGTACAATTCAAGAACCCAATTCGTTGCCGGTCGTAATTCAGCTCCAGTAATTCCAAGATTGACTGAGTCCCCCCCTTTTGCCAAGTCAAAAGAGAATGGTGTGGTTGGAATCAAACTGGAAAACCATACAAAACTCAAAGATCAATCAAAAGTCTCTCCTGACCAAACATTGAATTCAAAGAAAAGTTTTGGTCATACTCAAGCAAAAAAAGAATTACTTTCTGATGGATTTGGGAAATCTGAGGTATCTCAAATCCCTCCTCCATCAAATGAATCACAACTTTCAGCAACAATGAAGCCATTGAAAAGAAACAAGTTGAATTTCAGAGAAACAGGAAATGTTGATATGAAAAAAGGCAATGATGAACTGACAAATGGACCAAAAAATGGATCCAAAAAGAATAAAATTGATCAGAGTATTAAAAAATCTGACCATATAAGTTTGAAAACTAAGCCAGAGAAACAAACACTTAAAGACACATCTTTGGCAAAGTATGGATCCACAATTGCATCTGCAAATCCAGTTACATCACCCCTTGATCAGAAACCTATAAATTTTGAGACCAATATTTCCAAAGGGAATCATTCAGTGAAAAAGGATGAAAAAGCTACTGCAATAAAATTGCTTTCCTCCTCTGAGAGAAGTATTCAAGATAGAAGATATGTTCAGCCGAGTAAAACCAATAAACAAATTATGGGAACAAAACCAGCTGTTTCAAATGAGAAAAAAAACACTGAAATCAATCCCAAGAGATCAAAAGATGAAAGAAAAAGTGAAGTTCTGCATCCTTCATGGGGGAATAAAAACAGAGATGCCCAAAGTGATGAATCTTCTTCAGTTTCAAAACTTTCCCAAGAGTTGGCAGAAATCAATAATCAAAGGGACACCTCTTCAACTATTTTGAATGGATTCAGCTCAAATCCAGATATTCATGAATCCCCATTTCAGAGTAAAAAATTAAATGGTATTCAACAGAGAAAATCAAATAAAACACATCAAGAAAGACAAACTGGAAGGCTAACCACAGAATCTGATTCTGTGTATGTTAATGGAGGAACAGAGAAGATAGATGAGAAGAATAATGAATATAGCAAAGATAATCAATCAAAAGAATCCACAGACATACCAATATCGGCTTCTAATTCTGCCAAACCAATTAGTGAGGAGAAGAATATACTTGATCTCATTGAAAATAGAAGATATCCAAAGATAGTGAAAGAGAAATCTAATTTTGAAGCTAGATTCATGGTCGATTATGAGTCACAGGCAGAAATTTTGAACTCTGCATACCAAAAGGCCAAAGAAAGATACAAGTCAGAAAACTCAAACAAATCTTCAGCATCAATCATGAGTTCATTGAAGATTGAACCGGATATCAACAAGAAAATGAGAGATAAGATTAATCTATCTTGTGAGAAAGTCAACATTCAACCTTGGAAAAACAAAAACAAGAGGCAGAGATTGAAAGATTATCCAGAATCGACTATCAAAACGTTCTTTGAAATGTGGGGGAAGCCGACTGTTTCATCCTGGGAAAACAGTGGTTTTGATATGGGATTCATGTTGAAACTAGCTCTGATTCTTAACTTGGATCACAAGAAATCCCACTTTGGAATCTCACCAACTTATGAAGACAAGGAATTCTATGTAGATTTTATGCACATGAGGCTGGACCAAAAGAAATTATCGATTGTTGTCGATTCTGTCTACAAAATACTTGGGAAAGAGGAAGGCACACGACGATTGGAAGCATTTTGTTACTACCTGAAACAGAATACAATCTCAGCATATTGGAGCTTTTTGAAGCAAAAAAAGAAATTTGACTGGTTTCGTGAAACATATTATGGGCTTAACTTTGGGCTTTCTGAAGAACCTGGCTTGGTTCTTGAATTTCCCGCCCCTGCTTCATGGTCAAAGGCTTTGCGTCGATTTGACACTAAAATGGATTATACCCAAGAGGATTTAGCCATTATATATGGAGATCAGGAAGGCTTGAAGAAATTAGAACTGGTCAACTATATAGACAATTGTCCTTACGATGACACCTGGTGGAGATCAATCGACCTTGAATCGGCAGTGGTGCACTTTGGATTGGATCCTTTGATAATCTTGAAGATAGGAAACTCACTTCAATTTGGCTCCCGGGATCTGTTGGACAATGACAAGCATAGAATTCCACTAGAGGAAGCATTTCTCACCATTCTGAATATCATTACAAAACCCAGAACTCTGCCTTGGATTGAATCTGCAGAACGTGCCTGGATTTACAGCGTCTTTGGAAGCTTATATCCAGACCGATTGAGGGAACTCGGCTACATCATTCTTTCCAAAAACGTTTTTTTGGAAAATCAAACAAAACAAGCGAGTGGGTCTGATTTGATTTGGAGTGACCTTGGTCTTGAAATACGGGAATCCCCTTCTGAATTAATACCCGAGAACGCCAAAGAAGCAATGCAGAAATATGAGAAGATATCAGGGCCTTTTTCAGAGTATTCAAAGATTGCAATCTCGATCTGGATCAGGTATTTCTGTGGCAATCCTCCTTATGCTTCCCAGGAAGTAAAACAAGAGAAAGACAAGAATAACTTCTCATCAAGGCTTCATTTTAAATCGTGAACTGATCAATTCCTTCAATTTCCGTTTCAATGCATATTGAAAATTTCCTGTTGTCTTTAAACATGATAGTATTTTAAGAATCATAGCCACACTGACAAAATTCACTACGCACTGTTATTCATCTGAACACACCCCTGAGGTTTTAAAAAGGGCTATTTATATGTTGCATTCTTTAACCAAATTTTTTCTCTTTATTTGCAAATAAATTTTCATTTCTTGATTACTCATGATGGGTCAGTGTGGTCACTAGTGTGGTCACATGCAGGGAGGGAGCTCTTCCAGCAAAACAAGGTGTTACTTCCAGACCTCTCTGAGGGTCTAGTCTTATGCCCTAGGAGGGGAAACCACTGGGTATTGCATTTTGGGAATGCAGCTCAGTTGCTAAATCAGGCTAACTTCATACCTGAACTTGATTGTTAAGATCCTACGCAAGACTACCAGATGGACTAGTCAAATAGTTCATGTGCATAGTTCCTCCTGAATAAGACTTGAAGGGTGTGGTGATATTGATGGACAAGAGGAACAATATGTTCTTGTCAGAAATCGTAAGAATCGAACATGTGAAACCGCAAAGGTTCTTTTTTTTGTAAGAATGGAAACAAGACCCCTGGCAAGCGGAACTCATCTATGTGTTTTTGAACGTTCATAAGTAGATAAAAGAAAATAAAAGATGTTTATGTATGCACGCATGAACAAATGTTCCCACAAGAAGAAAAAATAGTAAGAATGACAAGCGGTGACAGCCGAAAACGAAAACAAAACCAACAAGTCTGTTTGTCTGTTTTATAAAGGTAGTAATATCACAGTGACAGAGTTAATAGAAAGCTTTCAACAACCGGACGAGAAGAGATTGAACGAAAAGGGGCAAAAAGAGGATGGCGACGAAAGGCAAGAACCAAGCGTCAAGGACCTGATCGTTCCTGAAGAGATGGACGAGTTTGGAGATATCTAGATGTCCGAACAAGGCGAGGGCGAGGAGGCTGAAGAGGAGGACCAGGGGATGGATGCTAAGAGCGAAGCCAATACCCGTGCCCAGCGGGAAGTTGAGGACAGAGATGACGGAGATAAAGCAGCCGGAGAGCATGAGCTGGATCGGCTCGAAAATCGCAACCGAACTTACCCTCCTAGGCGGAAGTAGCTTGATGATCGCCAGGGGAAGGATAGCGAAGATGAGGATGGAAACATAAAGCTGGACGGACTAAATATTCAAACAGGTGTCAACTTAAGTAGTGATCTCATAAGCGCATTTGGACTGTCAAATGGATTTACCTCTTTAGCATGTGTAGGCTCGATGGACCTTATCAGACCCAAATAAATCATCGCGCCCACGAGATGAGTGATCCCAGCGACCCGCAAGCTCCACAAGATTTCTGCGCCTTTTTCATTTCCCCGTTGATCAGTTACTGGGCGTTTCTCGAACGATTTTGAGTTTTGATTTTGATGTCCTTCGGATGGAGACAATGAATTCCAATCTTTAACAGTAGCTCCCCATTTAGCGAGGCCTCTGATGGTAAGGCCGACACCGATCAGGAGAGGTACGATGAGATACATGGCTACGCTCAAGAATCTGGCCTCGGATTGTAAGAGGTATAAGAAGAAGCTTTGGTGAAGACGTTCGAGTAGGTTGTTGAGACTGCGTAAGCTCGACTCGACGATATTTCCGATGGTATGGAACCCATGAGGGCCGTCGGCAGGATGGGCGAACAGTGCTATGGCATCGATCCGATAAGTGCTGAAGAGCCCCTCAGGACCGGATGGAGAGCCCACCAGACCATGTGACATCTGCTTGACGATCGTTCGCCCTGCTTGAATGTATTTCTGGACCTCGGGATGATCGGGAAGATAGCTTGGATAACTTGGTTCCAGTGGCTCATGATGCATGGTGACAGGACACGAGCCAGTCCAACGGACGATATGAGAAACAGTATTGATCAAGTCCAGGTTGGGTAGTTGGCCATTGATACCCTCTGAAAACCAAATTGAAAAAATTAACAAGAGATGACTCGAGTTTCACACAAGCCAAAAATGTATTTGACTGACCATAATCGATGCCGATGTGACTAAAAGAATGGAATGGGAAGTCGATGTTGAGCGCAGCCCAGATTGAACCGGTTTTCAAGTCGAGAGGTTGCATCTTTAAGTCTAAAAAAATTGATGATGATGATGATGATGGTCATTGGTGATGAGAATCACTTGAGGTCGAGTCAGAAGATTGATTTCTGAAGGAAATAAATCAAACGGATAAGATAAAGAGGAAAAGTGCCGGTCGGATGAAAGTTGAGACATACTGGGTTGGGAGAGCCCGTGATAGGCTTTCAACCAGGCATGAGTTCCTTCGAGGTATTCATCGGCAATCAGGAAGATGATATCTTTACTCCATAAGTTGAAGCCTGTAATGAAGTAAACTCTTGTCAACCGAGACGGGTTGTTAAGTTGGTGATGGATATGTAAATGAGGAAAATGGCGGACTGATGAGATATTCTGCTAGGGCCAACACGCTGGCTACTCCTCGTAGGTTGATATCACCACCATGGATATCTGATCCAGGACGCCGAGTTAGCCAGGAAGCCATGAGGACGAGTGCCTCTGAGCCATCGACACGAGGGGCGTGTAGGATCGCATGTACATTGGTGCCATTGCTGATCGAATGTACTTGAGAACCGAGTGAGGAGAAGGTGTAAGATTGAGTTTGAGAACGTAATCCGAAGCCCTGGAAGAGAGCCGCGATGTGGGAGGCACGCCTGTGTATGATGAAGGAAGAAAAAGAGAGTTCGCAAGATGAGTTTCTTGTTGGTGATCGATTTGAGACAGCTGGGCAGAGAGAGTGAAGGCACTTGACTGTTCAGATGGTAAATCACGCCATTCGTCGAGTAGATCTGCGTATCGATCAGCCTTATGAACCTGAGCCCAGCTCCAGTAAGTATTGACCTGTTGAGAGGAGACAGGGTGGGTGTGTTTAGAGTGATGGTGGTTTTTTCCGGTTCTGTAGATAAGGCGCAAGCTGACTGACTTGACCTGGTAGGATGGCGTTTTCAGAGAGATAAGTCGATCGTGAGAGTAGATCTGTGGGCAGGATGAAGCCAGCCAGATAACCAGCCAGGATGAGGAGTGAACTGGATGGTCATTGTGTCAGTTTTCTTCGACTTGATTCGATCAGTACTGTGTAGACTAACCTAAGTTGAGGTGCATATGAGAAGATGAAGTTGATGATAAGCTGTCTCCGATTGAACCTCTTTGACAGACTAATCGATTCTTGGTCTTCCTCTTCCTCTTCCTCCTCCTGCTCTTCTGGTAGTTCTTTTTCTATCATCCTTGCTTGCTTGCTGAGTTGATGTAGCTGTTGACCGTTGGTTGGTTGGTTGGTTGGTTTGTTGACTGTGAGCTGAGCTGATGCAGCTGCTTACATAATCACTCTCGAGCTCACATGCACAGCACTTTTAGGAACTTGGCTTAGGTAATCATCCCCGACGGACGTCTCTCGATGGTCAGCTGTGCATCCCAATTGGGTCCACAGCCACCTCAGGCTGCTCTTCTTTCATAAGCCAATCCCACTCTCTGCCTGTCTTTCTCCCTCCCTCTCCTGCACCATCTCAACCCCAGTCCTCAAGCAACAACAACTCCTCAAACTACCACCATCATGTCACCCTCATCTCCCACTCAGAATCGATCGAGTACCAATCAGTCGCCCAACCCAAACAACAATCAACCGATTCGCAGGAAGCTGGTCATCATCGGCGATGGCGCCTGCGGTAAAACTAGTCTGCTCAGCGTCTTTGCCATGGGTGAATTCCCTGAGGATTACGAACCAACGGTCTGTCCTATCACTCACTCACTCACTCTCTTTTCTCTCCCAGCTTAACAACAAGTCCCAATACTGAGCAATCCACATTTCATCAACAGATCTTCGAAAATTATGTGGCTGAGATCAGATTGGATAGTAAACCGATCCAACTAGCACTATGGGATACTGCGTCAGTCACTTGTACCTAACTCCTGTCAAATAAAACCCATCACTGACCTACGATTCATGTTTCTTTTTTTTCCTTTTTTGAATCAGTGGTCAGGAGGAGTACGAGGTTAGTCAGAACATTCTTCACAGAAAAAAAAAACACATCGATCAAAACCCGATCCAATCATTCTCTCTAAGCAAAACATTGAAAAAAAATAAACATAAACATAAACTTCTTTCTCAACCTATTGACAGAGACTTCGACCGCTCTCCTATTCAAAATCACATGTCATCCTCATCGCCTTCGCCATCGATACTCCAGACTCACTCGAGAACGTAACCGTCAAGTGGATCGAGGAGGTTCGCTCGATCTGTGGTCCCACCATCCCCGTCATCCTCGTCGGTTGTAAGAAGGATCTAAGGGATGCCGATGCTGGAATGAATCCATCCCTATTTGTCCAACGCCAAGAGGTGGGTCTCAGAATCATTATTAGCTAATGCCCAACACATCGTTCCCCCAACTCACCCCATACTTTTTCACATCACCTCGATAATAGGCAGAGCAGGTAGCCAATTCGATTAACGCGAGATGCTATATGGAATGTTCAGCACTCAAGAACGAAGGCGTGGATTCGATATTCGAATCGGCCACCCGCGCCGCCATGCTAGTCCGTCAGCCGGCTCATTCCAGCTCGAATCCCACTGCTCATCCTAACTCATCCGGAAACGATGAAAAGAAGTCAGCATCTCGGGCCAAGAGACGGAAAGCTCAAAAACAGAA